CAGAAGTTGTTAAAAAAGCAAAACCGTTCATTCAATGTGGATTATTTTTATTTGATTTTATAATGATAATATTAAGTATTATATTTTGTTTATGGATTGTATTACTTATAATAAAATTAGAATTAGATACAGAGTGGGGTTTTTCTGTTGTTAATATTCCTATTGATATTTTATATTTTTTGTCATTCCCTTATTATTCAAAAAAATTACCCAAACTTCTTGGTGGAATTGGACATATTATAAATTGGATTGGATTTATTTTATTCTTTGTTAGAGTTGATGAAGGTGTTAAAGGGAGTAATTATTTTATTTGGTTAATTCCTTATTTTATTGGAACTGTATTACGATGTATTGCAAATGTTCTTGATGACTGTTTTTCTGCTGAAATTATAAATGAAAATGGTGAGTTTATTCAAGTTAAAAGAAGTACTAAAGCTATTATTTTAAATTTTATTTTAAATATATTAACTTCATTCCTTTCAATTATTTTTATTATTTTCATTGGATTAGCAGGTAATGATTCACAACATGATTGTTTACTAGTTATGATAGTTGGTATTTTATATTTTATAATGAATTGTATCTCTTCTTCTTTCAAAGACTTTAACTTTACTATTATTTCTTTTATTTTTAATTGTATCTTTGCTTTATTTTTGATTTCTCAGTTAGTATTATTGACTTTAGATGTTGGTGTTAGACATTCATATAGTTATTCTATTGCATTTATTCCATTAATATTAGTAGGAGGTGTTTCATTATTATTCAGCATAACATTAGGACCTTTTATGTGTTGTTTCTTAGTACCTTTATTGAACTTATTTGAAGTTGACGAATAATTTACTTTTTTTTTGAAATGCACCACTTAATTTCAGGTTTTCTATTTCTCTCCTTCTTTTGTTTAAAACATAAGTGCTGATGAGAACTTTTTGAAAACTTTTGCTTGAATAAATCACAAATTTGATAATTAAGTAATTTAGTATATCAAAAAATAAAATAATGTAACAGAAAGTGTTAAAAAAGAAACCAATAACAAGGAAGAACCGTCGTTTAAAAAATTAAATAGATAAATATCGAAAGAAAGTCAACAAAAGAGTCATTTTCGAAGAAAATAAAAAAAGGAAAAATTATTTAAATTCCAATAAGTTCGTTTTTTTAAAAATTTTAATAAATAAAAATAGAAAGTTCTAAAATTAATTTGTGGGGTTGTTGGTTTGAAAATAGAAAAAGTATTTTAAGTCATATTCTGAAAGATTGTAGAAAAATAAAACCATTTTTCGAAGGAGTATTTTGTGTTATTATCAGACATTTTAGGAAGAATCATAAAAAAATTACGTACAGATGACAAATTTCTCAAATTTTTTTGTTTAAAAACCATCAAATTCATGAACCTTTACTTTTTCTTTTGGTTTAACTTAACCAGCGAATTAAAATTCTTTCTCTCAAGGTATTAAAGCATTTATCTTAAAATTCATTATTCAAATATTTGTTATGCAACCAACACTATTTAGACTTGTTGAATTACCTAATTGTGCTCATTATCATACAGAATTTCCTCTTGTTACTCTTTCAGAAACTTGTGTTGAAGGAAGTTTTAATAAAAGATCATCTTCTCCTTGTAATAATAAAGTAAATTATGTTTCAGAATGTAAACCAAAACGCTCTATATCTTCTGAACCATTTACTCGTCAAAGACTAACAAAAAAGAATTTATGTTCTCATGGACTTGGGTTTCTCTCAAACGAGGATAAAGAAGAGAGAGTTTATTATTGGATAGAAACAATTAAAGACTCAAGTCTTTATCCAGCCCCTTATTATTTATAATTTGTTGTGTATACCATTAAATTTTCAATGTAACTTTAACTCTTCATTCTATTATTTTTTATTTTGGTTTTTTATTCTTTTTTTTGTGTGTTTATATTTTTTATTAAATTATTTATTAACAAAAGTATGTTTTCTGAATATTCTTAGCGTTAGTTCATTTCCTTCTTTTTGATTGAGAAATATTTAATCCGTTTTTTTTTTTAATTCCATCTCCTTAGCTCCCAAATTTATTTTCGCTACTTTTATTTTGAAAAATAGGAAATAGTTGATGTTGAGTGGTCTACTTGACTCTTCTTCAGTTTCTTCTCAAGATTTTTGTGTTCTAAATTGAGTCAAAGAGGAAGTTATTTATTCTTTTTACACTAACGGTGATGAAACTATAGTATTGTTTTGGAAATATTATTTAAACACTTCAACTCTTCTCAAATATTATCATTAAGAAATAATTGAATTTAGTATATTAAAGAAATTGTTGGTATTATAAAAGGAAAAATGAATAGAGTTTAATAAAAAAAGTGAATTAAAAGTAAATATCTTTGTAAGTGTATAGATTCTTATCTATTTTTTAATTTAAAGTATATTATAAAAATAGATCTTTGATTGATTTTAAATCATTTAAATAGTGATAATTTATTGAAGATTAAATTAATCGAAATTGGAATAGATTTAATTAAAGTTATTTAAAGTATTGATGATATTTTTAGCTTTTTTTCATTAAATTTATGAATACCTTGTCTTGAATAGAGGTCCAATATTTTTGTTATTGTGAAATATTATGTATTTCTCATTTAAAATAAAAATACTTGAACATATTATCTGCATTATACTCACTTAAAACAATACTTGGTTAGTTTTTTAAGTAATTCATTAATTATTTTTAGTGATAACATTAGAGAAATATATTTTGAATTGAGAAGAATAAGATTTAACTAAAAACTTTAATATTATTTTAACTGTAAAAACATAAAAATATTTCCATCCATCTCTTGTTGTGTTCTTTAACTTTAGAATGTTTTTCTATAATCTAATACAAAATTATCATTTCCTAAATCTTTATATATAAATAAATTAACAAATCAGTTTTAAGTATTATATTGTAATAACTCGCAAAATAAAGACAACAATTTTTATATTTAATTACTAGTATTTTTCTGAATCTTTAAAAAAAATACAAATTAGTAAGGAAATAGAGGCAAAAAAACAATAATTTGAGAACCTTTAAAAATATATTATATGAAATTTCAATGTAAATTTAAGTTATATATTAATATTAAATCTATTTTTGGTATAGATATTGAATTTAATATTTGTTGTGTTAATATTTATTACTTATACTTAATGTAAAAAAAGATAAATGTTGTATCTTTTATTTCATTTAATATTCAATAAGTTTTTTTTTATAAATTTATTAAGTTATTTGATATTTTAAAAGTAAGGTTTACTAATAACTATAAGTAGTTTCTTAAAAATGACAATAACTTATTTCTATTAATTGAGAGTTGTACAGAAGAGATATTCAATAGGTTTACTTTCAAAAAATAACATCCAATTCATAAATCTAATATTAATAGTGTATAAAATTAATTCAATAGATATTCTACTTTTTTAATTTTTAGAGTGTATGACACTTAAGAATAGTTTAATAATGAAATTGGCATTTATTTATTATACTTGTGAAATTATGTATAACTCTATAAACAACTTCTAAAAGTATATCAATTATCTTCATTTCTTAAAAATAAACAAAAAATATATGATCATAATTAATTAAGAATATCATATTCAACTAGAAGTACCTCTTTTAATGAATTGAATATATTGTGTTTACTAATTGTTTGAATGAAAAAAGAATAGTCTTTTATAGTTTGGTTATTCTTTAATAACACACAACAATAAAGCTATTTTCTTGTAGATACTAAGAAGTATTTTTTAAAAAGTAATGTAAGATTCTAAAAATTGTGAATAGATGTTTGGGTGTATTTCAACTAATAATTGATTAAAGAACAATTTAATTTTATCATTGAATATTATTATTTTAATATATCTTTTAAATTAAAAAAAAACATGATATATTTTAATATTAATTTAACAGTATAAATAAAAATAAGAACAAAACATTTAATAACAAGTTTATGTCAGAATAGAAATTATTTAACTTCAACAATTAAATCCCCATTAGTTAAAATAATTATATATATTAATCATTACTAACATTAATTAAAAAAAATAAGAAGAAAGTTTATTATAAATATGATGTTTTAAACCAATTTTTTAATGTTTTTGGTGAAAGTTATTAAAAAAAAAGAGGATGTTAATATTAATGTTTTCAAGATAAAAGATAAAATTGAATAAAAAAAAAGAAATCAAATAGTAAAAAAAATAAATAAATAAGAAAAAATAAATTTTAAAAATGAATATTCGAAGGAGTAAATGCCCAGTCACAAATATCACGATAAGTTTTTCTTTCATCCATAATTGACCATTGAATAGGAGAATTAATTAAAATAACATGTTCATCTTTTTTAAATTGAATAAAAATTGAATCAAGAGAAGTATTTAATTTATTTATTTGAGAATTAAGAGAAGAGATAGGAAGAGGAGAAGTTTGCATAGAATTCTTTTTCGAGTTTTTCTTTTATTTTTGGATTATTCAATTGAAAAGAAAAAACTAGAAATATTCAAAACTAAAAAAATAATGGAAGAAGAGTCTGTTAATTTATCATCTGAAACAGAATTTTCATCATTTCAAAGTAATACAATAGAACAACCAATAACAATAAATGAAAGTAAACATGAAGAAATTATTACAAAACCAATAAATGAATTTACAGAATCAGATAAAATATTTATTAAAAAAGTAAAAGAAATAGAAGAAAAAGGAGGTATTGTTACACCACAATTAGTCAGAGCGATATTGGAAGAATTAAATTATAATCAACCAAATATTGTTAAATATATTTTAAGTGTTGGACTTAAACAAATATCAGCGTATCCATATTTAAATATACTTTCAGATGAAGAATCAATAAAAGAAATTAATTTTATTAAAAAACAAGTACATGGAATTGAACTTCAATATATTTTTTTAACAGAAGAAATTGGAGTTCAATTATATCATAGAAAACAATTTAATTGTTTTTGTTTAAATAAAAAACCACAATTATTTGGAAGAACATCACATTTATCAAATATTTATTGTTGTTGTTCAGGGGATGGTTTTATGTTAACACCAATATTTGCAATTACTGGAAATAATTATTCAAAAATAAATGAAGAAGTATATAAATCATCTGCATTTTTTATTAAAACAGAAAAAGGAATATTTAATGGAAATGATTTAATAGAATGGATAAAAAAAATATTTATTCCTCATATTCATCAAATTAGAAAACAAAAAAATTATGAAGGATTTTGTGCTTTTGTTATTAATACATTTTATTACAATGATATTAAACCTATTTTAAATGACCTTAAAGAAAATAAAATTAAAGTTATTATTTCTCCTATGGAAGGTTTTAATCTTCGTCATCCTTTAAATTTATTAGCAAATGAATGGATTTCTCATTTTCCTGTTAATATATTTAACTCTTCACTTAATTTTTTACGTATGAATGTTCAATCATTTTTTGATAGATGCAATGAATCTAAAAATGATATTAAACAATGGAGTATCGCATTTTTTAATAAATCAGAATATCCTGAAATTAAAAAAATGTTTAAAAAACCAAATGAAAGAAAAAAACATTTAAGTAAAGGAACACAACAACAAACACCACATAAAGAACTAATTAATAAACAAAAAATTGAAAAAAAATCAAGAGTAAGTGAAACATCAAAAAAGAATAGAAAATCACATTATTCTATTCAATTTAAAAATGATGTTGAAGAATTTATGTTAAATAAGTCAAAAGGAAATCATATTGGAGGAAATATTGTTAATGCACTTGCAAAACAAAATGGAGTTGAAAAATCAAGTATTATTAAAGATCTTAAAGAACATGGAATTACTCTTCAAAGAGTTAAATTAATTAAATTAAAATATGATAAACTTTGGAAAGAAGAATGTGAAAAAACAATTCAATTGTTTGATTATTCAATTTTTAATATCCTACAAATTCAACCATTTTTAGAACTTATTTATTGTATTGATCAAATAGGAATTGAATATAATTCATTATCTCTTAATGAAACAGAAATATTTACTTATTCACAAACATCTGATCCTGTTCAAAGAACACGTGATAGTTTTGATGATTGTATTATTGGTTGTATTAATGCAAAAGGAGAAATAATTCAAACAATTACTTGTTGTGATAAATTTACTTCAGAACAATTATCATTCATTTATCCAAATAATTGTTTTGAAATTGGTGATGATTTTCAATTTACTAAACAATTTCTTTGGAAATGGTTTAATGAACAATTTATTAAAAAAGTAAATCAAACTCGTGAAAAACTTCAATTAAAACAAAATAAAGATGCTTTTGTTTTTCTTCATCCATTTAATTCTCATTTTATTGACCAAAACATTTTTAGTATGAATAATATTAAACCAATTTATATTTCATCTCCATTATTTGATTTAATTTCTCCTATGAAATTAATTAATTCTAAAGTATTACAAGAAATTATCATAAAAAATATTTCTACTAAAAGTATGTTTTGTTTTAATGCCTTATACACTATTTGGGGAATGTCTAAAGAAACTATTCAATCTTCTTTTCAACAATTTTTAAATTCAAAACCTCAACAACTTGTTTCTTTGATCCAAAATAAAATTGATCCTTTTATTTTACCTCCAATTAATGACCGTATTACTCATTTTTCTTTTGACCATATGAGTAGAGCTAATGCTGATATTCTTCGTTCTATTATGGATACTCCTGAATTTAAGAATATAACAACAAAACCAGTTCAATATTTATTTTTTACTTCTAAAATTCCTTCTCTTATTGAATTAGTTATTCCTTGGTTTACTTCTTCTAAATAAATAAATTAATTCTTTCAATTTATTTTAAATTTAACGTTTCTTTTTTTTTCTTTTATTGTTTAGGATGAAAAAGTAATTTAGTAATTATATAATATAAATAAAAGAATTACTTCTCATTATTATGAAAACTTGTAGATAGATAATAGTATATCAATTAATTGACCTTTTTTTTTTGGTTTTTATAATAAAAACTAACAAAATAAAAACTAATAAAATAATATTTTAATATGCTGTTTATTTTATTATTTACTCTTTCATTTGCTTTTACATTTGATGATTGGATTAGAAAATATCAATACAATAAAATGAACATTGAATTTGAATTAAGAAAATCTATTTTTGAAGAAACAACAAAAAAGATAAAACAACTTCAAAACAAAGGATATTTAAGTATTTCAAATGACTCTCCTTTTTCAGTTTTTACTGAAGAAGAAATTGACAAAATGATTAACTCAGAAACATTTTCATTACCACAACTACGTCAAAAAAGATTAAAAACTAATAAAAAAACAATTCAATTAATTAACGAGTTTGATTGGAGAAATTCAGGAATTATTACTCCAATTAAATCAAGTGGCACAAGATATTTTGAAGCAACAATTGATGGTATTGAATCAGCAATTCTTTTAGAGAAAAAAGGGATGTATACAAATGAGACATTAAAACTGTCAGTACAACAATTAGTTGACTGTCAAGATGAGTTTTTTGGAAAAAAGTTAGGTAGAACAAATCCATGTTTTATTTATTTACAAAGATTTGGATTTATGAAAGAAGAAGATTATCCTGAAACTTCAGAAAAAGGAGTTTGTCAATATAACTCATCTAGAGTTTTTGGTAAAGTAAATAAAAGAAGATATTTAAGTGTTTTTAATGATGAAGAATTAATAGAAATGATTAAACAAACACCAATAATAGTTAATATTGATATGCCATCAACAATGCCATATTATGATGGAGAAGGAATATTTGAAAATGTAGAAGAATGTAGTCAATCATTACCAAGAATTGGACTATTATTAATTGGGTATGGAAAAACAATAAATGGAGTACCATATTGGATATTAAAAAATTGTTGGGGACCTTCATGGGGTTCAAATGGATATTTATATTTAAAAAGAAATAAAAATGTATGTGGAATTTATTCATATGGAACATATATAGAAAGTATAACACTTTATTAAATTACTTTTTTTTTAAATTTGTTATTATTTTTTTGTTATTTTATTAATGTTATTTGCAGCAAAATTATATTCCTTTCTAATTAAACCATCTTGTTCTGCTAATGTCATTGCTTTTTTAAGATAATTTAAAGCTAATGAATATTGTTCTTTTTTATTTAAAACAACACCAATTCTATATAACGCTTTAACATTAACTGGATCAAATTTAAGTACTTCTTCTGATTGTTGTTTTGTTTCATTCCAATTTTCTAGTTTCAACCAACATAATGCCATATTTGAATGAATTAATAAAAGTTGTTTTTTAATTTCTTCATTATATTTTTGGTAGTTTATATCATCTATTAAATTATGTAATTCTGCTGCACATTCTTGATATATTTTTATTGCTTCTTTATATTCTTTTTTAGTAATCTTTTCTTTTCCTTTTTCTTTTGTTTTTATTATTTCTTTTATACATTCTTCAAATGCTTTTGGTTTTTTAATTTCTTTTCCTTCTAGTATTTTAATTATTATCTTTACCTCTTCTTCACTTTTAATTCTTTCTCCAAATCCTTCTTCTCCAAATATTTCTTTCCCTTTTGTTATTATTTGATATTTTTCTCCAATTCTTTTATTAATTACAAAATTTTCAATAAATGGTAATACACTTCCTTCTCCAATAACAAATTGAATTTCATTTTCTTCTTTTGTTAAATTACTTTGAATACTATATTGTACTATTTTTGATTATTATTTTTTTATTATCTCTTTTAACACTTTAAACAAACTTTTGATTTCCATTCGATCACTAATTACTTGTCCTTTACTTTCTTCAATACATTGTATTTCCACCATTTGTTATTTGTTTAAATCTTTTTTTTATTTTTTAGTTTTATATTTCTTATTAATTAGTTCTCTTTATTTATTTATTTATTTTTTTTTTTTTTTTTCAATTAATTTCATTTTAAGTTTATACTTAAGAAATTTAACTTATTTGTAAAACTTAATTGATTAATGTCTCACTTAATTATTATAATTCTTTTTTTTTTGATGTTTGTTATTCTTTTTTCTTTTTTTAATTCTCACTGAATATTTAATTCTAATATTTGTTTTTTGGTTTTGCTATCCTCAAATCTACTTTTCATTCAAAATATAACTTTTTTTATTTATCAAATTAATTGATATTAATTATAGTAGTTTTTAATAGAAAGAAACATAAGATAAAGCTAACCGATTAAAAAGAAAAAAAAAAGAGGAATGAATTTGAATAAATAAAAATATAATAAAGATTCATATTAAATAGTATTAATATAATTTTTTATAGTTTTTTTATTTTTATAAATATTTTAGTTTTTATTTTTGTTCTTTTTGAATTCTAAATATAAATCACCTTCAAAATTTTTTTACCATATTGTGAGATGAGAAGCCGAAAAAAAGAGTTATCACCAGAGAGAATCATTTATTAGTTAGAGAGATGACGTAAATATTTAATGAGCGTATTTTTTTTATTATTATTTCATGAAATTAGATAACTTCATCTTATTTAATTAATTTATGACTATACATAATAGAATACTCTTACCTTTTCTTTTGATTTGTTTTGTGTTTGGAGGAATTACTGAAGAAGTTTATAACCAGATAGCAGTTTGTGGAGATAATGAATGGAATCAATACTATGAACAATGTGATGGGTCTGTTGGATGTACATCACAATGTATTTGTGGTACTGGATATATTGCAGATGGAAAAGGAAATTGTCAAATGCAATGTATGTATGAAGATGCATGTTCTTCAGGATGTATTCTTCCAGATGTATGTGAACAATGTAATATTTCTAAAGGATATACAAGTGATTGTCAAGGATGTCAATCAGGATACATGTGGTTTGGAGAAGGGAAATGCAAACCAATAAAAGAAAATGAAATACAAACATGTGGAATGTTTAGTAATATAATAGAGCAATATTTTAAAGAAAAAGGAGAAGAAAATGTGTTTAATATTCAAATAGGAGAAGAAGAAATAAAAAATGGTGGTTTAATTTCTATTCCTGATGTTTCTAATCTTGTTGGACTTCAATTAAATAGATGTTCACAATATGTTGATCCAATTAAACCATATACTTATGGTGTTTGGTTTAAACTTACATCGACTATAAATACTTTTGTTTCTATTGAAGTAGATAAAAGATATTCTCATCAAGAACTTGAACTAGCAAAAATTCAAAAACAAGAAATAGGAAGTAAACTTGCTATAGTCATAGAACAAGATTGTCAAGAAAAATTGGGATATTCTACTTCATTAGTTTGTCTTTACAAAAATGGTGGACATTCTAAATATGTAAATTCTCCCAGAATTATTACTTTATTAGAAACTGGTTCAACTCAATATCTCTTTATTCATTCAAAATTTGCTTCATTTCAAATTCCAGCTTTTAAGTTATATGTTAATAAAATTACTCATGCATGTTCTTCAAGTTATTATAATATTGACTGGAATACATTAGCTAGTTCTAATTATTCAAATGTATTTAATTTAGAACATACTATTAATTCACGTTCTATTTGTTCTAAAGATATTGTTAAAGGACTTTGGTTTAAGTTAATTGGAGCAGATCAAAGTATACAAATTTCTACATGTAATTCACCATCTGAATATGATATAAATCTTGATCTTTTAGCTGTTAAATTAAGTGATTATGGATTAAATGAAAATTCTGAAGATATTTCAATGATTAATTGTGATGATGATTCAAAAACAAAGTGCATTCGTTCAAGGACAGATGGGTGTGGGAATAATTCAAAATTAGCAAGGATGGTAGTTTCATTACAAACAGGGTATTTATATTTTTTGTTTGTTGGAGTAAATGAACAATATTCAGCTCAAATCCAGGTTGATATAAATACAGTTTGTACTAATAATTGTGATAATAATGGGTTATGTTCTTCTCATACTGGTAAATGTGAATGTAATGATGGATATGTTCTTAAAGATGAAACCTGTTCATTATGTGGAAATGGAAAATTAGATGAAGGAGAAGAATGTGATTTGTCTATTGAAGGATATGATGATAGTAAATGTTCAATTAACTGTAATTGTCTGTATGGATTTGAACCAAAAAATATCAATGGAGTTCGTAAGTGTGCCGTTTCAACATGTGGAAATAATGAAATTAATAAATATGAAGAATGTGATGGAGGATATGGGTGTGATCATTGTGTTTGTGTAAATGGAACAAAGAAATATGCGAAAGCAAGAATTGGTTGTATGTTATCTACATGTGGAAATAAAAAATGGGATAAAGGAGAAGAATGTGATGGAGGAGATGGATGTATTGAATGTGAATGTCAACCAGGATGGTATTCACAAAATAAAGCAGATTGTAGTTCAATTTCCAGAGGGATAACAAATTTTTTATTTTGGGGAATAGGAAGTATAATATATATTATATTTTATATATTATTATTATTATTAGTGTTATTCATTTATTACAATCTTACTAAACAAATTAAACAAGAAATTGATGATGAAAAACTAATCATCTTCGAGAATACAATCATTCCATTTGATAAAACAAATTCTCAATACATTGACTTAAAACAACAAAACCCTTATTTTTCATTCTCTTCTAATACAATTGATTTTGGTGATATAAGACCTGAAATTAATGAACCTATTGATACAACAATTATTTTAACTAACAACTGGAAAGAGAGTATGCATTTTACATTCCATTCTGGTGATTATACAAAATATGAAATTATGTGTAAACCATTTACTGGTACTATTAGACCAGGTGATTTTGCTGAATTAACTATTACATTTATGGCTAAGTGTACTACTTTACTAAATGAAAAAATCCCAATTACTTTAAGATATGGTCAATTAGGAAATATTTTAAAAGAAATTAAAAAGGAAAATCCTGATTTGATTGCTCAAAATTCTCAATCAAGTCAAAATAGTGAAATGGATAATCGTTCTCATTCATCAAATACAAATAATACTTCAAATTCTCAACCTCAAAAAAGTACTCCTTCTTCTTCTAAAACTACAAATAGTAAATCAAATAAAAGTGATAAATCTAGTTCAAAAAAGAAAAAAGGAAAATCTAAAGTATCTAAATTCCATGTTTATTTAAATCTTCAAGTTGAGTCTGCTCTTTCTACTAAATTGGATTATGAAGAAATTCATTTACAACATCCACCTATTGGTGGTGGTACATTTGGTATTGTTTATCGTGCTGATTGGAGAAGAGTTGATGTTGCAGTTAAAGTGATGAAAACTGATTTAGTTGGATTAGCTGAATTATTACCTAATTTTAGTCAAGAAGCAGAAATGATGGAACGTATTCGTTGTCCGTATATTGTAAATTTCATTGGAAGTGTAGTAACTGCTGATACATTATGTCTTGTAACAGAATTTTGTCCATTAGGTTCATTAAGAAAATTCATGAAAACAAATCCATTAAGTGATTTTTTAAAAGTTAGATTCTGTCAAGATATAGCACGTGGTATGGAATATTTACATCAAAATGATATTCTTCATCGTGATTTAAAAACTGATAATGTTTTAGTTTATTCTAAAAATCCACATGATCCTATTACTGCTAAAGTTACTGATTTTGGTACTTCTCGTTCATTTATTGAATCATCTGGAAAAATCGAATTACAAAATATTGGTACACCTGTATATATGGCACCAGAAATTAGTAGAAAAGATCAAATGACATTAAAATCAGATGTATATTCATTTGCTATTTGTATGTTAGAAATTTGGTTAGGAAGAGATCCTTATGATCCAATAAAATTCCCTGATTCAGAATCAATACTAAGATTTGTAGGTGCTGGAAAAAGACTTGATGTTTCTGATGAATGTATTTTTAAGACTCTTATTGAACAATCTTGGAAACATAATCCATCGGAAAGACCTACTTTCAAAGAATTAGGAACAGTTTTAGATGGTATATTAAGAAGAATGACTGATAAATCAAATTCTACTAAAGGTCATTCTGGATCAACAAGGACTGAAACTAAATCTCAAGATATTTCTTCTTCTGAAAAAAGGTATAGTATAAATACTAGTTCAAGTAGTACAATAAATAATATGGAAGATAATAAAGGAAATGAAGAAAGTATCGACACATCAATTTCATCTCAAGTATTGTCACTTTGATTCAAATCCATTTTAAATCAAGTTATTTTTCTTTTTCTCTTTCATAAAAATATTCATAACAAAATAACAATAAAAGTTCATTATATATAATAATTTATTCTTTATCTGAAAATTATAATAATTTTAATGGAAGTTATTTATAATGATAAATTCATTTTAATTTTATTGAGTTAAATACATACTAATTATTTCATTTATCTATTACAAGATAATATTTTTTATTTATAATTTATACAACTCTCAATAAATAATCATTCTGATATTAATTGAATAACTAAAAATAAATTAACTCTAATTTAATAAGAATAACAATACATAAAATAGAATATGTTAAACAAAATATTTATATTCATTTTTCATTAAATAACATAAAATACCAATCAAACAAAAATAAATAAAAGAATGATAAATAATAACTATTAACCACAAACATTTTAACGTACCAATTATACGTGTAATAAAATTAATTACATATTTATTAGCTATTTAATATAAATTAATAAAACATAATTATTAAATATTCCTATAATCACTCTGAAAAATAAATAAAATAGTTATCATAAATTTAAAATAATAAAATAGTCAACATATTCAATACCTGTATTTAAAAGAAATTGTTGTAACTAAATAATTCATTATTTAAATATGGACATATTATTTTAACATCAAATTTTAGTAAATAATACACAAGGTAAATTATATATTAATAAAACAAGATGGTTATAAAATATTGAACTATTTTATTCAGTATTTATTTTAATTAAAAAACAAAGAAAAACAATAAAAGTGATATCAAATATACAAAAAATTCTGTTGAGTGATATCAACAAGTTTATAGAATTTATTTTCAAATAAAAAGAACAGAATATTAATATATTTGTTTAAAAATAACTTGTAATAGTCAAAATGTTGTTTTATTCTATAGAACTATGGTTTACATTAATAATTTATACTGTTAACAAAAATAAAATTTAATTCAATTATGTTTAGTTATAATTGACATTTAATAACATCCATAATATTTAATAATAAAAAATGTATTCGTACAAGAAAAGTTATAATAATATTAATTTGTTTATAATAGTATTTATTCAATGTTTAGTTATAATAATATTTGTATCTCTCAAATTATTTTATTTATGAAAGAAAATAGGAAAAAAAGGTTTATTGAAAAAGTCTATTTTTGATGTTATAGAAATAATAAAATCATTAGTACTATTTAGTATTATTGAACACATACCATATTAAAGATATTTATATATATTAGTGGTTTGAATTATGATTTGAAAATAAATCGAATCAATGAAAATAATAAATAGAATATATTTAAAGAGAAGAATTGAATGGAAGTTCCTTAATGATTAGATTTTTATTATTTATTGTATTTATAGTGCAACAAAGAGTACTATCAGTAAGGAAGAAAGAAGTAAAATGAAGTTAAACACTTGAATACATTCAAATAATAATATTAAAAGAATGTACAATAGATAGAAATACATTTAAAGGAAGAAACTTGTGTGACTGGAGAAAAAGTAACAAAAGAAGAATTAACACCAGTAGGCCTAGGTAAAACATATAGATGACAACATAATGGAAAAGTGAGTGAAGGAAATCAAGAAGCAACTGAAGAGAGTTCAGTAAGAAAAAAGAAGAAAAAACAAAATAACAACCAGAATATCCAAGAAAGAAGAAAGTCCTGAAATGAAAGCAAAAGTTCAGAAAAGAAAGAAACTCTGAAAGAAAATAGTCAAGAGAACCAAATTCAATAACAAGAACATAACAATAACGAGGATGAGTCTGAAAGGATAAGAAAAAAAAACTAAGAAGAAAATGAACCAGATCAAAAACAAAACAAAGTTAACATAAGTTAGAGTGAAAGAGTAATTTTAGAGGAAAATGAAATAGAGTTGATACGAAAAGTAATGACAAAACAAGTCCAGAAAAGAAAAATGACAAAACCATAAATCCAGACACTGACAGCGCAAATTAAAAAATGAAAATACCCAAAACAAAGATAAGAAAAAACAACAGGAAGATAAAAAAAAAGAAGCATAAGAAGAGGCAAAGAAGAAGAGTAAAAGAAGAACATGAAAGGAAGAAATTATCATAATTTCTGTATCTTTCATTCTAAATTATGATTTATTTTATTTTCATTTCTTTAACTTGATTGATGATAATATTAATATGTTCATTATCAATATCAGTAGAGTTATTTTTTATGATAATGTTTTTTATTATTGAATTACACTCTACTTTCCCTTCTATGATGGTTCACTTTCATTCTGATATATCTTTCAGTTGTTTCTTTTATTCTATGTGATATTTTAATATTATTAATGTATTCTTTATCATTATTTACATTATTATTTATTACTTTTATTATGCTTTCTATTTGTTCTCATCTTAATTTCTTATTTAATTTCTTATTTAACAAATTAATTGCAAAACAATACAACACATCAATTAAATTTCTATTTGTTTGATTTGTTGTATTTTCTTCTCTTCTTGATTGATTATCATTTCTTGTTTTTTGATACTCAGTGTTTCGCTCTCTTCTTCTTCTATTTCTAGAATTGTCTTTTTCATAATGGTAGTTTTGTTCATTTGTATTGTCTATGATGATGATGTTCTCAGTATTGGTTGTGTGTTTATCATTAATATCATTGTTTTCTTCTTCTTTATTTCTGAGATAAAAAATAAATAATAAATTGATGATGATTTGATATTATTTGTTTTTGTTCTTCATTTTCTCTTTGTGTATGGTTAATTCTCCTTTTGTTTTTTCTTCAATCTCATCCTTTTCAATTCTACTTTTTTGATATTCACAGATTTGATTTTCTTTATCTCTTATGTTCTTCTCACAATATCATCACTCTTCTGGATCTCCTCCTTCTTCACCCTCTCACACCAGCTTGGAGAATGATGACGATTTCATCTTTATTTCATCTTTATGTGTTATTTCTATTTTATATTTCATTTATTTTTGATTGTAATGAAATATTTTATTATTTTAATTTAGAGTTTTCTTTTCTTATTTCATTACATGTAGTTTGAATATTGTTTATTCGTGTTTTCATCTTTTCTATTTCTTCATCACCCTCTTTTCTAACTGTGTCTCGTGTTTTTTGAATCATTTCATTTGAGATAATTTGTTCTTCTTCATTCTTTTTTTGTTTGAAGTCTTTAATAATTTCTTCTATTTCTTTGATTTTTTTTGAAGTGTGTTGATTTTTTCTTTCTTATATTCTTCTTCTTTATCTTGTGTTTTTTTTTTATTTATTTTCTTTTTCATTTATTATTGTACTTTTATTTCATTTATTTGTTTTTGATTCATGTTTCATTTGTTTTAATATCTTCATCACTTATTTTGTTTTCTATTTATTTTCTTCTTTGATTTTCTTATTATTATTGAATATACTTCTTGGAGAATATTATACATTTTCATTATCTTCATACTTTTTAAGTAATTCTGATTATTCTCATTTCTCAATTTCACTTCTTATCCTTTTAATTTTCATTTCAATTTCATTTGTTGTCAACCATTTAGATTTCTTATTTGTATAATGTTTATTATCATTATATTTACTTTGTTTCTTATTTGTTTTTCTTTGATTCTTCTTTTTCTATTCACTTTTCTCTTGTTATTTCTTTTATCATTGTTATTATACTTTTTATTGCTATTGAAGTTCTTTCTTTTCTTTGAACATGAATACCTGTTTCTTGTTTGATTTTCTTTACAAGATTCTATTACATTACTCAATTCCATGGTATCAAAATATGATGTAGAATATTCTGAACTGAAAAATATCTTTAAAAATCAAATAAATTAAGCATCATTTCTAAAAATAGATAAAATTGTTCATTATAAAAGATCTTCATATTTCAGTTGTGAACCATTGACAATGGCAACATCCTCAGAATTTAGTGATAGTTTCTGCGATAAAAAACCAGAAAGAGAGCCAGAACAAACTGATGAAAACCCAATAGATATATCAGTAGTACCTGATACTTGTAATGAAGAAAGTCCTAAAAGCGTAGATGAAATTCAAGCTAAAATAAGTGAGGTTCAAAATGATATCGATAAAAAACTTCAAGAACTTTGCCATCCGCCAGAAGATATTTCTCAGAGTGAGGTCTCACAAATAAAAGAAGAATATTTAAACCTTGTTAAAGAATTAAATGGATTAGTTATTAAATATAATAAAAAGACTAATGGAATGACAGATGGAACTGAAAAAAGAAAAGACGTTGTTGTTGTTGCTGATCCAAATGAAAGATTTGTTGATATATTTCATGGTAAACCAGTGAAGTTATTCTTAGATACTCTTAGTAGTTATAAAATTATATTTCCACGTATCCAATATTGTAAAACACTAAATTCATCAACAAATATATACAAACAACTTTTTGGACAGAAAGATTTTGGTGTATTTTGTGTTACTAAGTATGGAAATGTTTTTGGTATATTCTTTCATTCTGTTAAGTCATTTGGAGATCAAACTTTTGTTTGTAATAAATCTGCTTTATTCATTATAAGAAGAAATGGAATGAAAGAATATATTCCAATTGTAAGTAAAAGAGAAAGTGATATTTATATTGTACTTGGGCATGATACTACTAAAGATGATTTATTGATAACAATTACTAATAATATTGGATATGGAATCCAATTTAATAATAACACAGTTCATATTATTGGTGATATTCGAAATGTATTTAATGAAATAAAATATAATAGTATGTTATTAAATATAAATAATAATAATAATAATAATGATACCAATAATAATACCAGTGAATACAAAGAAGAAATAAATGAATTAAAGATTATGAAAATTCATTCAGATGATGATGGAAAACAATCTTTAATTGAATAATTTAAAATAACAACAAATGGTTATTATTTTTAATTTACTAAAAATGTTTTAAATGATTAAAACAATAATAATATTCACATAAAAATATCATTATTTGTATTAATTTAAACTATATCATTTATTCATTATATTATTTATATACTTTCATTATCATTATATTTATTTA